AATGCAGATGTGTCATACCTGAGAATGCAGGAGCTGAACTCTCTCACTGACATCCAGCAGTTCCTGCTCAGCCAGTTTCCTTCCTCTCTCAGTTTGTTCCAGCAGGGATCTCAGCTCATCTAGTTCAGCCTGCAGCAGATTGTTGCGTCTCTCCACAATGGCGATGTTCTCTTTGAGATCATCATTACCACGGAGAGCGTCATCTAGTTGCATTTGGGCATCCTGTAAAATTAAACTTTTACAGATTAAAAGACAGCAAAACTATGTTCACCTAATCATAATATCTTAATTTGAAGTTTCGTCATACTTTGAGATGTCCATGAAGACCCTTGAGTTGCTTCTGGGCTTCTGATGCCTGTCTGTTAGCCTGGCTGAGCTGAATCTCCATCTCATTGAGGTCTCCCTCCATCTTCTTCTTCAGTCTGAGAGCTTCATTCCTGCTGCGAGTCTCTGATTCCAGTGAGCTCTGCAGGGTATCCACCATTCTCTGCTGGTTCCTCTTGGCCTGCTCCATCTCTTCATCTTTCTCCGTCAGCTTACGTTCAATATCAGCTTTGACCTGATTGAACTCCAGCTGAGCTCTAAGAATCTTTCCTTCCTCGTGTTCAAGGGAGCCCTGACCAATTAAAAAAATACTTAGCCATTAGAAAGTACAGTAAGTTTGATTGGGCAGCAAATGTATTCTTGCTGGTGTATAACTAGAAAAACTAGACCTACTACATCTATACATAACACAATCAATTTACCTCAGCCTCTTCCAGGGCTGCTTGAATTTCAGTTTTCTCCTGCTCCAACTGCTTACGAATTTTCTCTAGTTCATGTATGTTTTTTCCACTCTCGGCAATTTGTTCAGTGAGATCAGCAATCTCCTCTGTTTGGTAGGAAAAGTAATACTGGTTAATATATCTAAGAAAGTGAAGAGAAATAAAAAAGGTTTTTGAAATTTATGTGAATGTCCAGATGACTAATAAATCAAGGGCACCTTGGAGGTTCTTGTTTTCTCTCTTCATAGTTTCCAAATGATCCAGAGACTCCTCATAAGAGTTCTTCAGTTTGAATAGTTCAGTACTCAGAGATCTGGCTTCCTTCTGGGAGCTTTCCAACTCGCTCTGAGACTCCTCATATTTCTGCTTCCATTCAGCTAGGACCTGTTGATAGAATCCGACTTTGATTAGATACAATGGAGCTGAATGAACACAAAGATGAATTATAAGTGTGTTTTATTCACCTTGTCAAAGTTTCTTTGCTTCTTGTCCAGAGCAGCAGCAGCAGCATTGGATCTCTCCACATCCACCATGAGATCTTCAATCTCAGTCTGCAGCCTGTGCTTGGTCTTCTCCAGAGAGGAGCATTTAGCATTAACAGCTTCCACAGCTTCTTCTGCATCTTGCAGACGCTGAGCAAGTTTTTTCCTTCATGAATAAACAGATTTTGTTCCAAAATAACTTAGTGGAGCTTTTACAAATTCTTGGCTTACTGAACAGTCAGATGTTTGTATGGTATGCTACATGGGAAACCCAAATATTTCCTGATTCTTACTTTGCTTCCTCCAGCTCCTCAGTCCTCTGGATGGCATCAGTTTCATACTTGGTTCTCCACTGAGCCACTTCAGTGTTTGCCTTGGACAGACTACGCTGCAGCTCAGCCTTGGCTTCTTGCTCCTCTTCATATTGCTCCCTCAGCAGATCAGCATCATGACGAGCAGACTGAACTGCATGGGCCAGAGCATTCTTAGCCTGTCAAATATTTACAATTAATGTTTTCTGTTAATGGGAATGTCCCTTTCAGGCAGGTGGGTTTGAATCCCACTGCTCCTAGAAGATCTTATTGGGTGATCGGGTAGTGTTGTGGTTTAGGTGTATGACTGCTACACTGTGTTACTCTAACCTTGTGGGTTCAAGTACCAACATTGGTTGCAATACCTTGATTTCCTCCTCTAGTTGTCTCTTTAGGTCTTCAATCTGCTGGGTGTAGGACTGCTTGCCTCTTGTTAGCTGAGAGACCAATGAATCCTTTTCTTCCAGCTGTCTAGAAAGCTCCCCTAGATAGAAGTATAACCAGTACATTACATAAAGTAGTGTGTGGTCTTGATAATTAGTCTAACAATGCACAGAATAAAGTAATACCTCATCAGAATACATACCATTTTCGGTTTGCAACCTAGCTTTTTGCATGGTAAAATCATTGATGCTGCGTTGTCCTTCTTCATATTTTGTTCTGTATTCTGACATCTGGTCCTCAAGAGTCCTGCACATTTTCTCCAAGTTCGCCTGGATAGATATTATATAATTAATGAATATGAAATAAACCATAAAGAACATGTGATTCTAAAGAACATCTGAGGTGAAGAAAAACAATTAAAAATGCTAACATGGAAACAAGAATTCATCACCTTGGACTTGGCAAGCTGCTCCATGTTGGAGACCACATCGTCCAGTTCCAGTCTGAGTTCACTCTTCTCTTTCTCCAGCTTCTGCTTCACTCTCTGGAGGTTGTCAATCTGCTCCCCCAGATCAGCCACACTGTCTGCATGTTTCTTCCTCAGTGTAGCTGCAGTGGACTCATGTTGCAGAGTGGACTCTTCAAGGTCTCTGCGCAGTTTCTGGAACTCAGCTTCACGTTTCTTGTTCATCTCAATCTGGGCAGCAGTGGCTCCACCAGCCTCCTCCAACCTCTCACTGATGTCCTCCAGTTCTCTGGACAGATCAGCTCTCTGTTTCTCAACTTTAGCACGGGCAGCTCTCTCAGCCTCCAGCTCTTCCTCAAGCTCTTCAATTCGGGCCTGGTAATGTGAGGAAAACCAAAGTTGAATTAGATAGAATTCCTAATTGTCTACATTTTTAAGAATCATAAATTTTACCTGCAACTCCTTCAGTTTTTTCTGGAGTTGGGCTGCCATTGCCTGCTCATCTTCAATCCTGCTACTGAGCTGGCTGATCTCAAAATCTTTCCTGTGTTGCAGAACATATTTGATTAATAGTATTAATAAGGATTCAGATTGTGAGCTGTATTGTTAAATAAATATTTTCCCCTCTGGAAAACACACTTTTTAATCCTCTCTTCCATTTGCTGTTTGTCATTTTCCAGGTCCATCACGCTCTCTTGGGTCAACTTTAAGTCTCCCTCGAGCTTCCTCTTTGCCCTCTCCAGATCCATACGAAGCTTCTTTTCCTGTTCCAGGGAACCCTCAAGCTGGAAGGACAATATTTTGTCCAGCATTGTAAATGTCACCTTTTTCATTTACAATAGAAATGTTAAGAATACTTCTTACATCATCCACTTGTTGCTCCAGCTTGGCTTTGGCTTTGGTGAGTGTGTTGACTTTGTCTTCCTCACTCTGGAGGTCATCCAGTGTTTGCTGATGGGCCTCCTGAAGAGCTTTCTTCTCTTTGGTCAGCTTAGCGATGATCTCATCCAAAGCTGCCATCTCTTCTGTCAGGTTTTTAACCTGTAGAAATGTGTTATTGTATCAAGGGAATCTTAACTCACCATTCTAGCATCAATAACAGGCTCAGTGCTGAAAACTGACCTTGTTCTCAGTGGCATGTTTCTCTTTCTCTACTTTGGCCAGAGTGAGCTCAAGATCATCAATGTCCTTCTTGAGCTCAGAACATTCATCCTCCAGCTTTCGTTTCTTTGCAGTCAGCTCAGAATTCATTTCCTCTTCATCCTCCAGCCTTTCAGTCAGCTCTTTGACTTTGGCCTCAAGCTGGATCTTGCTCTTGATCAGACCCTCACATCTCTCCTCAGCATCACAAAGATTATCTTGCTCCTGTTTACAGGTACAAAAAATGATGTATATTTATTTTAACGTCTTTGTATAATTAAATCAAAAGTATAGTTTTATTTTATTCATGAATTCATAAAATTATAAACTTGCAGCTTGGACTTGGAGTTGCAGGTCATTCTTCTCTTGGAGAAGAGAAACCATCTTTTCCTCAAGCTCCTTTCTGCGGGCTTCAGATTTGGCATAAGCCTCCTTCAACTTCAGGAATTCTTCCTTCATGTTGGCCATTTCTTTCTCCGACTCAGCAGATCTCAGCAGTGGTTTGATCTTGAAGTAGAGCTTCATCCAGGGCCAATTCTTGACACCCATGAAGGCACGTACATTCCACTGGATCACAAGCAAGGCATCTCTGCAAAATAAAACTGTTCTTTTTGTCTCTTTTTATGATGCAGTGACAGATTTAAATGCCCACCCAGTTACCTTCGTTCAACAAGCTTCTGGAATTCAAGTCTTGCGAGAAGACCACGTGATCTAGCTTGAATATTGGTGATGATGAGAGCAAGACGGTCGTCTCTCATTTCTTCAAGTGTACCCAGTAGACCAGCCTTGAAGAACACCTTAAAAATAATTTATTTTAGTGACCTATGATAAATAGATAGACATAACAGGCAATCTATCAAAGGCATCCGTGCACAAACAAATAAAGCAATGCTGCAAGTGCCCCTGAGACATGGTACACTTTTTAGGGATGTCAGCCTTCTAATAGATTGCTTTTAGTTGTCTCAGCACATTAATGTGGGATAGGATAACATTTTAAAACTGGGAGGAAAAAATACACAGAATTACACAATCTACAAGCAATTACCAATTAGCATATATACCTTTGTATGTCCAAATTTGTACTGGTTGTGGTCAATTTCCAAAGACCCCAATAACTTCTCTGCTCCTTTCCTGCTGTCAATGAACTGACCATCTGGGATGGCAGCAGGATTTAGGATGCGGTATCTGTTGTTGAATATTTAAAACATAAAGAGTTTAAATAGTGTCGATTTTGCCATTGGCAATATCAATAAATGGATTTTTTTTTTAAGCAAGCTAAATGAGTTAATGGGATTTCATTTTTGTCATTTACACACATTGGTGTAATTTGAAAATGTCAAGTCTCATTGCATAACTTGTGGCTGTTATCACAAGTCAGCAAGTTTTTGACCCGAGTGCGACTCGCATGTCTCGTATTGTAGTGAATGTACCTCTGCTTGAAATCTCCGTACAGGATCCTGTTGGGGAATCCCTTTCTGCAGATCCTGATGCCCTCCAGCACACCGTTACAGCGCAGCTGGTGCATGACCAGAGGATTCTCCATCGCCCCTGGAGTCTTAGTCTCATTGGGGATGATGCACCGCACAAAGTGAGGGTGAGTTGACCTTAAGTTGGTCATCAGCTTGTTCAGGTTCTCCTGTGGATAGATATTATCCATGACTCTGGCCATATATGTATTTTAGGTTATGCTATTCAAAGAAATTAAGAAACCAAGCTATATTAAATAAATATTTTCATTATGAATCAATATGAAAGGCACTGTATATGTTACCCTGTGGAGGGCAGACACTGTCTGAAAAGAAGAGCCCTTTTTCTTCTTCTCCTTTCCTTTCCCTCCTCCCTCCGCGGCTGTTGAATAATTGATCATTTTTAAAACGAAACTTGCACTAAATCCTTATTTGTCTCAAGGATCATGTCATCAGCACAACACACCTGAGTCAGCACCAGCATAATTGGCAAACAGATTAGCCAACATTTTCATGGTGGACTTCTGATAGAGGCCAACAACAGTCTCATTAAGAGGGTCCTTGTTCTTCACCAGCCAGTTATTGATGTTGTAATCCACAGTGCCAGCGTAGTGAACCAGGGAGAAATGGGCCTCTGGTTTACCCTTGACAATCCTGGGCTTCTGGAAGTTGTTTGATTTCCCCAAATGGTTGTCATAAAGCTTAGCTTTAAATGTTGCATCACTGGCTTTGGGGAACATGCACTCCTCTTCAAGGATGGACATGATACCCATGGGCTATAGAGAAGGCAACAAAACGAATGTAACTTAAAGCAAAATGGATATCAACTCTTTCCCCACCAGCATTTTCTTTAAAAAGTTGCCAGCTACCGCCAGTAATTTTTATCCTTATTGACAAAAATGTCATGGCCCCCAGAATATTTTGTTGTATGAATATCTGTCAAAAATAAATCTCTCTCGAGTCTCTGCTTTTAAACAAACAAAAATTATTCTAGCTTCATGCATTCTTTTTTTATCAACACTTATATACAATATGTGGGTAATTTTCACTAAAAAAAGCAATATTTTGACCAAAAAGCTGAGAAAATCAGACTTCATCCGGATGGGATTTAGAATGATGATCAAAACGTAGATGGTGTAGATCAGTTCCACCAAAACCCCCAAAGTTTGCACAGTCCTGTACTTCGTCCCGGGTCGACATTTCATTCAGTAACATTAGGCAGTTTTTATTTATATGCTGTTTAATGGTTGATGTTCACATTATTTAACATGTGCATAAGCAATGCTTTTATCGCTTGTTTCTGCTTCTTTTTCACCAGTATTTTGATCCAGAGATTCTTTACTCTTTCAGAAGATGTGAAACAGTGAACACTTCCATCAATGGCAGGGAAAGAGTTAAATAAAGCTTCAAGATTAGATATTCAGAAAAAAGATTTTGTACACCCACCTTTTCAATGAGATCAATGCAAGCCTGCAAGTCCATGCCGAAGTCAATAAACACCCACTCAATGCCCTCCTTCTTGTATTCCTCTTGCTCCAGCACAAACATGTGGTGGTTGAAGAACTGCTGCAACTTCTCATTAGTGAAGTTGATGCACAGCTGCTCAAAGGTGTTGTACTGCAGGTGGAATATATTGTATAACCACGATGGCAAAGTAACAAAGAACCAAAGTTCTTCAACAACAATAACCAGTTGATTTCAGCTTACTTCAAAGATCTCAAATCCAGCAATGTCCAGCACACCTATGAAGTACTGGCGAGGCTGTTTGGTGTCCAGGGATTGGTTGATTCTCACAACCATCCAGAGGAACATCTTCTCATACACTGATTTGGAAAGAGCGCCAACAGCATAGTACACCTGTGCGATAGAGATAATATAGTTCAGTATTACAGAAAATGTATGCTTTTATTGTTAACAGTTAATGATATCATGAAGTAGTCTTCACCTGCTGGACACTCTGTCCCTTGGTGACCCACTCATTTCCTACTTTGACTCTTGGGTGGCACAGAGCCTTGATGAGATCAGCAGAGTTCAGGCCCATCAGATAAGCTGATTTATCAGCATCTGTCATCAATAAAAGAAGATGGTTAACAGTTAATGATATCATGAAGTAGTCTTCACCTGCTGGACACTCTGTCCCTTGGTGACCCACTCATTTCCTACTTTGACTCTTGGGTGGCACAGAGCCTTGATGAGATCAGCAGAGTTCAGGCCCATCAGATAAGCTGATTTATCAGCATCTGTCATCAATAAAAGAAGATGGTTGATGGTAATGAATCTTCTATTAACCACTAACTTTATGCATTATGTCATTATTTTATCCTAATACTGACCCTCAGTCCCATCAGCCTCGGCCTGTTCCTCTCTTTGCTTCTGCTTGAACTTCATGTTGCCGTAGTGCATGACGGAACCAGTCAGCTTGTAGATGCTGTTTTTCTCCTCTTGGGTGAAGCCCAACACATCGAACGCTTCCTACAGCAAATTAATTTAACATGATAAATGTGTCATATTCTTCTTTCTTGTAATTTCAGTAAAAATGAATCTTTAGACGGTAAGATCAAAATGCATTAATGGTAATTTGTAGCTATTTCAGATAACACACGTCAGTGGCCATCAGCTCATCAGCATCAACAATAGAGGCCACTTGTGTCTCTCCTTGAGAGATGAAGGCGTAATCATAAGGGTTTGCTGTGATCAGCAGCATCTCTGAGAGAAAGGACACAGAGCACTAAGACATCATGTTGTAATGCATTTTCAAACTAAAGTATAGATGTTTGGTTGTTAAATTTTTTTGCCCACCTAAAAGTTCTGGTTTCTTCTGAGACAGGATCTGGTAGAAGATGTGGTAGTCTCTCTCAGCTTTGAGCTGGAAAGTCACACGAGACTTCTCCAAAAGGTCTATCACAGAGAACATTTAGTTTAAAATCATTACTATCATGCATTTATTTTCATTATTTTAATATGAAACTAAGCATAAGTGTTCCTACAAGTCTCGATATCTGCAGAAGCGAGTTTGCCATTTGCTGCGAAATGAATGCGGATGAACTTGCCCTGTTCGAAAGGATAAAAATTGTTATGTCTTTTGAAGTAAAAGCTGTATTCAGTTTTCACTGCTATTTCATTCACTCACGAAGCGAGAAGAGTTGTCATTCCTGATGGTCTTGGCATTCCCAAAGGCCTCGAGAGCAGGATTACACTGGATGATTTGATCCTCCAGAGTACCCTAGAAAACACAATATTAGAAACGTGTGTATTGTGAATGACAAATAAAACAAAATGACACTCCAATAATTTTTTGTTTGAATTCAGATCTCCTCTGTTTACCTTCTTTTCACTGGTTTCCTTCTTTGTAGGACTAGCAGCAATGCTGGCAAAGTACTGAATGACTCTCTTTGTGTTCACAGTCTTTCCAGCACCAGATTCTCCACTTGAGGTAGAAAGATAAAATGTTAAGCACCACACAGTTTTTAAAAAAAAAAACTATTATAGAAAGTGTTACACAGATGCAGACTTACGTGATAAGAATAGACTGGTTTTCTCTGTCTGAAATGGGCAATGAAAATATGAAACAATACAGTTACGTTCTAAACAAACTCTATTCTGTTCTGTTTTGAAGCGGTCCTGAAAAACGGGGTAAAAAAAATGAATGCATTTAACTCTTTCCCCGCCATTGATAAGATTTTCCGCCATGGACGAGCAATAGGGCTGTGCGTCTATGATTTATTTGATATTCATTCTGAATCCAATCCGGATGAAGTCTTTGACAAAAACATGATTTTCTTTTATGAAATTTGCACACATCAAGTGTTGATAAAAAAAAGAATGCATGAAGCTAGAATAAAATGTTTTTTGTTCTCTTTTTTTTTTTGCAGAGGCTCTGTTCTTTCTTTTGATGTATTGTGTGTTCAGATATTTATACAACAAAATATTTTGGGGGCCCTGAAAGTTTTGTGAAAAGATTAAATGCTGGTAGTGGTCCGGCAACTTATTTTTTTTTTTTTTTTTTACTCTGGTGGGGAAAGCAACTAACCAAACAATTATGCCTAGTTAGAATAGCAAACTACTTTATGTGCTTTTCAAAATGAGGAAACCACTTCCAATATTTTTCATTAGTGAAGTTAAATGTCATACATCAAACTGTTGTTTCTATGAATCTGTCACTTGATAGAAGCTAGTCAAATTGCATGGGCAAGCTGTGTGACATTCTCAAAAACCTCAAACAAAATGATGCCAAATGAAAAAAAAATACTGTATACAACTTATACAACAACATTACAAACAAGGGTAACGCTTTAGATTACAGCCCGGAAAGTACTGCGTAATTGAAGCGATTTTACAGCGTAACCTTCGGTAATTCTAGTGTACCTATAAAGTACTTACAATATAAGTATAAGGGAACAATATTTTAAGTTTGGGGAATAAAGGGGTAACAACCAGGAGAATTAAAAAAATAATTGATACTGTAAGTATTATAGAACTAAGGGGTACTTATTCTACTATTATGATATAACAATCTTACATTTGGGAGCAATTTAGCAAGAACATACAGCAATGTTACATACACAGTACCTTTTTGAAAAAATGGTGAATAAATTTAAATAAAGTAATCTTTTTAACAAAAGTGCACTAAAAACAAAAACTATTGCAACTTTTGCTTAAATATTGGGGAAAGATACTCTTGTTTCATGTAGCTTGTTACCCTCTTGTTCCGTGTAGTTACAGGGTGAGTACAATAAAAATGCATACACACAATCTTATATCACTGACTCAGAAACCTTTATTTATTATACAAGCACCACTTACCCTGTAACCACATGAAACAAGATATATTCCCCAGTATTTAAAAATGATGTAAGCACTTTTGCGATCAAAAAAAAAAAAGTGTATGAATGCATAGATGTGTACCCTGTCATTTTTTAAAAGCCTATACAGTATGTATTGGTACACAATTATTACAAAAGGTACGCAGTGTATGTTCTCGCTAAATTGCTCCCAAATGTAAGATTGTTGTATCATAATAGTAGAATAAGTACCCCTTAGTTCTATAATACTTACAGTATAAATTATTTTTTTAATTCTCCTGGTTGTTACCCCTTTATTCCCCAAACTTTACATATTGTTCCCTTATACTTAAATGCAAGTACTTTATAGGTACACTATAATTACAGAAAGTTACACTGTAAATTCCTCTTAATTACACAGTACTTTCCGGGCTGTAATCTAAAGCGTTACCCAAACAAGTTGCAACAAGAATAACATTTACTGTCATTTACTGTGTCCTGAAAACTGAAGTAAAACCACTTGAGAACCACTGGTGTCAAGTAGACGCACCTGACAGCATGTACTGATATCCATTGTCAGAGATGGAGAAGATGTGAGGAGGAGCTTCACTCCTCTTCTTTCCTCTATAGGCAACAACTACTTCCTGGTTGTACACTGGCAGCCACTTGTAGGGGTTCACAGTGACACAGAAGAGCCCAGAGTAGGTCTGTAAGAGATTCACAGAAAGTTTAGATCTGCTCATGCAAGATAAAGAGAACGTGTGAGTGTTTTAAGACTCGACTCACGTAGATCATTCAGGCTGCGTAACGCTCTTTGAGGTTAAACAGCACAGCGGGCTCGTGCAGGAAGGTGAACATCGCCATGTCCTCAATTTTATCGAACTTTGGCGGGTTCTGGGGGTGAACATCAGCCTCCTTCACTGTTACTGTCTGTAAAAGGCACATACTCCAAGAGTTATTACTCACTACTAACATTACTAATGTAGTGAAGGAATAATCAATAATGATCACTTGTTTAACTTGAACCTACTTTGCCTTTTGCAGTCTCGCAGGTGACTTTATCACCGTCCCGACTCACAATGGTTCCTTTCACATACTCCTCCTCAGGATCAGGGACGAAGCATTCTTTCTTCATGTCGAAGGGTCGCGTTTGGGCCTCCAGTCGCTCCCTGTCAGATTTCCTGAGGAACGGAGCAGCAGCTCCAAACTCCTCCATCGCGACATCTCCCATCTTTCACCTCGACTGCTGTTTGTGAGTGTATGCAAACTGATCACTGTATGAGATATAGGAGCATATTTGGACACTTAAGACACAAAAATATAAAAAAATAAAGAAACAATGCCATTTTCACTAAACAAACATTCAAAGCTTTAAAATAGTTTTAATAAAATAGTAACAAGAAAATCTTAACAATAAAAATGCATGCAAAGAAATTGAACTATGCATTAAGGCAGTTTGTTTTCCTTTGGACGCGACAAGTTGAAAGAACATCACAATCTTCTATCATACATATTTCTAAGTGATATTAATCATGCTTCAAGCCACAATCAATCCTTTCACTATTGTTAATGAAGCTGTATTGCTGTTATGATGTTAAACAACTGCACAAATGTCATTATAAAACATGCATTACGACCATGAAACAGTAATATCCGATGCATTACCTCTGACCGCTTCCACCACAGAGAATCAACGCTGCCCTACAAACAATGCATTAACATGAATTCCAAAGTTATCATAACTTCCTTATGATTCAAAATAATCAACTCTTCGGTGACTCTTATGATATTTTGAATTACCTGTTTACAAGTTGTAGGCTTGAGGGAAAGTTAAATGGCTGAAGCTGAATCCTCTCAATAAAGTGTCCTTCCTCTCTTTTATAAAGTGACTATCTATCTAAATAAGGCAGTTGGCAACTTGTTATGCCAAACTGCTATTGTGCTTGGTTTGGCTGATGTAGGGAGGGATAAGCATAGTTTTTCACATAGTCATTCCACCACTGCCAACTACATCTCATAATGGAAAATAATTACTGGGGGACAATTAAAATCACCAACACAAACCTCAACACTTTCTCCAGTAAGTCCGATCTGCTTTTAAAATATGCCAAATCAAGCCAATCTGAAAAACACAACATCATTAGCTTGTGTCGTATCATAAATGGTAGGGCTACAGTAAAAGTGCATACCTCTGTTTGTGTTCTAAACTAACTTTGTCTAATTAAAGTCACAAGCTAATCACCAAATGGGTAAGTAATCCTAATAAAGTAACTTTTGAAATTCAACAATGGTGTTCGCTTGCATTCATTTTCTCCTAATGCATCAACATCGATTTAAAACAAAGCACTATTTCCCATGTTATAAGGACATAAAGACTTGTTTTGACTAATCATGCAACAATAGTAAAATTACTTGCTATTTATGGGATTGTATTTTCAATTACTAAGAACCACACAGAATTAGACATTTCAGTGTTATCACAGTCCCATCACGAGTTCAGATGGGTTGAAGGCCAACGAGCGACAGATGAAATGATTCCTTGCTTCGCTGGCACAGGATCGTCGTCTCATTTGTCCTTGGGTATAAAGATAACCCTGTGAAATTCCTGGAAAGTGACGAGAATGATTGAGAATCAGTAGTTGGGCTGTAGACAGTAGCACATCCATTTATGAAACGCAGTGGAACGTTTCACTGAAAGATAAAAATAAATAAGGGAAGAGTGATGGACCACTGTGTTTTATTGCAGCGGTGAAATGAAAGCAGTGATGGCCTTACTGTGATATTCTGTGCATGCGTCCACTGTCACAAGACAAGCGAGACAAATGGGGTGTCGTCTTTCTGTCGGGTCAAGCGTTTGGTCGCCTGCCCAGTACAGCTGCATATGTGCCCTTGTCATGGAGTAAATCCTCTTAGTTGGTTTTCTCACTCTGGTCTAGTTCACTTGCTGACATTATGAAGATTATAGAAATTAAAAAACATTTTAAATCACTTCAATTAGGGAAGACGTGTTCGTATAAAGGCTATTATTATAACTCATGGTTTGCCAACAGAGAAAGTAAGTTTGTTCGTATGGCAAGTTGTGACCACAAGCTATTATTAGATGTCCTGCCAAGTGAAGACAAGCAAGCAGCAAAGGTCACACGTTAACAAGGTGCAAGTGTTCAACAAGTGTTCATTGTGCATGCCTTCATAACGTCTACAATCACACCCTGAGAGCCTGTTGAAATCTCCAGGCAAGAATCTCATAAGGATGATTAGTCAATTGATCATCAGTATTTACAGTATGAGAGAGGACGAAAGCGGCCAGCTGTCTGAGAACCGTAATGGTAATTCACTAGATCTACAATGCTAAGTTTGTCTCTGAAAGGACTTTATTTATTTATAGTACTGTATGCATTGTCTAATGGGATTCTCAAATGCATTCCTGCACATTTCAGCGAATTATTTTCACGACTTTCATATTTCCAAGGTAATTGATTTTGCAACATTTTATAGACATTTCACTCAAGGCAATTTACTGCTCATGACAAGCTATTCCTATCACTCTGCCATGACTTCAGTAAACAAGGATTTTATGCCTCTTTGAAATCATTTGAAAACTTTAAAGCCTGACATATGGAATAATACAGTGCTTGTTGATTATATTTGATACATCAGGCTTTTATGGCTCATATAGTACGATATAGTGAGAATATGGAGCTCATACTCAAGGTAGAAAAAAACAGAAGAAATATGCAACTTGGTGCAAATGCTGATGTTTATATGCACAAAGACACAAGATGAAATTCTCATTCTTGTAATGTAAATCAATGAGATCTTTATAGACTGCTGTCATAAAATCATCTAAATATCAATCACTATATCGTCTTAGTAAGATGATATTTAAATGCTTAGTTTTATGATCAAAACATATAATGCAATGCAATACAATGATGAACAAATAAAACTTCCTCAAAAGCCTGATACATGTGAACATGACGTATGGATAATCAAATAAATGCAAGTTGCTTCATTCCATTAAGTGTTCATCTTGAAATATTACTTATAATATAAAAATTATTCCATCAGCAAAAAGACAAGTTTTTATATTTATAATAAAACCCCTTGCTTAAAAAAAGTATGTTGCTACTTTTTAGAGGCCTTAGAAATTTGCTTATCAAATATGATACACATGGCTTTATAGGGCTAAAATTCCCTGATATCTCCAGGTTTGACGACTTGATTTGCTTATGATAGTGTCTCAGTTTGGGGCGCTGTAGTGAAGCGCAAACACAGACTGACCTTGTTACCGTTGTAGAATCAGGAACTGCGGTTCAGAGTGAATTTCTGGTATGAAATGAGCCAAAAATACGGAAACCAGCTAAATATTGATGTACCAGAGGTACAACTGAACATTAAAGCTTGAGCCTGAGCCTTCAGCTTTAATCACTTGACAAACAAATGATTTTTCAAGATTTTATTTGTAACTATATTGGTTAAAGATGTACTAATAATTACAGCATTGTTTAGTAATTGTTGCGCAAACTTATTACTATTATCCTTTATTATTCAAGTAGTAATTATAATTAAATTATTACTAACAATTCAGAACTAAGTGCATTTCAAAAAAATCGAACACGAGGCGTTTACAAGGAAAAGCTACATAACTCGTGTTTCCAATGTGCCTTATTTTATAATCCGAATGCAATAGGCAAAGACAAAGGGCAAACTACAGAGCCAGACATTAGACATAAATAAATCCAGACAGTGTCAACATTGAAATGAGCGCCATCCCTCTGCGGTCTCGATCTCCAAGGTCAGGAACAGAGAAATATGGGACATTATCAGCCTATTAAAGGAATATTTCAGGTTAAATACAACTTAAGCTGTCAACTTACTCCAATTAAAAGCAGAAATATTAAGGATGTTATTCAGTAAAACCATTATTATTTAACTTGTGAAGTTCGATAAATCATCTGCGACTAAAATTAGCATCTGGTTATGCAATACCGATGGGTTAAAATAATCAAATCTGGGAAACTGAACTGACAGCGAGTCCCAGCTGCTGCACACAGAGCTCAAGTTGTATCCCTGTAATATTCCTTTACCTACGAGTGACGTGTAACATACAATAATAAGTGTCATGTCCAATCAGAGTGCACATAAAACAATCCTCAGTGTCTCTCGCCCAAAACACGATCAGTCCTTCAAGGATCCTCTGGGATCGCCATTCTTAGCAGCAACATGTTCAAGAATTAAGAGAACCGATTCCATCCGAAGTGAGAACATAAGCCTAGTTTCAAAGGGATAAATAGATCAGAACGAGCACTGTGATTTTCAGCCCTTGTCTCTGTGAAGTTAAATACGGTCTAATATTATCATAAAGTCACTGGATGCTACATGGGTCAGAATTAGAGCATACGCCCTTGACTCATGGTTTATGCCATTGTGCGCTGAAAAGATGAACTCTTCTTTATGATGGACGACTCCACCGATGGGTGTTAGGAATGACTACAAATACATGGTTAAGAGGTCGCGACTCCGAGGACAGTCCCCTGTATATGCGCTTGAAGAGTAAAGCCTAGGTCTCTGGGTTGGGAGTAGCGAGAAGAGGAACGTTATCCCTCCTCCGTCGCACCAGCGGAGGACGCCGGTACTGTTCTCCGTCCACCAGCGTCTGTGGAAGGGGTTTGCGTTTGCTCTCCGGGAGAAGCAGGATTGAGAGAACCGCTAGCAGGGCCAGAGAAGAGTAGACCACATGGTGCAGAAAGTAGCCGTAGTGATTACGCAGATCCATGAGAGGAGAACTGAGGCGACCCACGCATCCCAGCGCCATGACGGCTCCCACTCCACTTCCTCTGCGGACACAACAATGGAACGTCAAAATCATCACATTCACAGTTTCTATGAAATCTTTTGTCTAAATGGAAATGTTTCCCAACAAGTGATCAACTTTGGTTGAAGAAAAGTAGAAGCACGTTTTGTTTCTGATGGAACCGTTGCCATTGGCTTCTTCTAGGACTGATGCTGCCGTCATGTGCAATTGGAATTATCGTAAATACGAGTTTCCTAGTCAGAAATTGGACGAGTGGCCACTCAAGTCATATATGCGACTGGGAAACTCTGAGATAACTTATTAACTGATGTCCGAGTAGCTAAATTGTATTTGTTTTTCCCACAACATCTACATTGTTTTCTCTTGCCGTTACAATATGCATCAAATGGTTTTTGTTTTACACGTGTATGTATTTGACAGCAAAAACAGCATTTGACTGAAATTTCAGAATGTAGATGTAGCCTATACAATAGTGCGGGTAATGTTTATATGGTTGTGAATGAATGCAACGCTACATTTGATTAAAAATTCATTGGATATTACCAAATATCTTCAATACATTTTGGCTTTAATAAGATTTCCCCAAGAAATAGACATAAATGAACCTGGTGTCCTCCATGATTCCTATTCATTCTGACAACAAAGCACTTGAACTCGATAAACTCATAATAGTGAATAATTGGGAAGTAGACAATTTCAACAGCATGAGTTCCTCATAATACTGAGCAGATCACAATATAGTGCTCCCAACATTACAATTAAACATTAAAATATTGACAGCCATATATTCATTCAATGCTTTTATGCAATGCATTCAGGGTTTACGTTTTATTCATACATTCCCTGGGAATCAAACCCATGACCTTGCCATTGCCTTGCTTTAAAGCTAATAAGTGAACAACTGGTGCAAATCTTCCCTCAGTTTCATCCCAGGAGAAACGCTCTTGGCGGGAAGCCAGAACAACACGGTACAGATGCATAAATTACATCCCTAACCGGCTCTCTGGTGCCCGAGTGTGAGCGTGCATTGTCCATACATTACCTGCATTCTGCTGTTTCAGGAGCTCAAATAAGCAAGGAGTTATCATGGTGTGCTGGTAACCAGCCCTGCGGGACTGGCGTGTTTACCTGATGACGGTGGGCATGACTTCAGCGGTGAACAGAATGGAGAGCGAAGCGGCCGCTTGGGACGAGAACAGGCCCATGATGGAGAACACGGTCATGGCCGACTCGCTCAGATCTGCAGGGACATTCATCTGAACGTCAAACATTGAGACCCGAAATACCTCAAAGAAATCAATCATTTCCAGATAATTCTGTTTGCAAATCTCACAAAACATTATCCAGATCATATTTCACTCACAAAACATAAATATTCCATAAAAGACTGATTTGCATTGTGATATTTTCAACAATTACATGCATTTACAATTAAATAACAATAAAGCACATTTTCCACATTAAGAAAAGAATAACTAATTGGACTATAAAGAAAAATAACATTATTTATTTTTCTTTAACAAGTGCAATTACAAGTATGCATCCCTGTAGTATTTATGTTGAAATTTCTGCAGAATATTATACATAAATATATTATTTTTAGTTTATTATATATATATATTTTAAATTCACTGTGTCCAGACAGGATGATTTTATTAATGTATTACAGTAATGAATGAGATTTATTTATTTACAGTATTTGAAGTGATGAGATTTTGAGGGACAATGTGCTCACATGCAGTATACATTTTTTCTATATTATAAAAAATAAATATTTTAAATAATTAAATATTAATTCCTTTATTTATTGTTTTGAATTGAAGATGAAATTTCACCAGAGAAAACCAAGTAAGACCGGACTGTCATTAGCATGTGTGTATGGTGTCAGGAAAGCGACCCGTGGACACTTACAGTCCATGAGTCCGAGCAGGATTAGGGAAGCCAGTCCGGTCAAGGTCATGGCTAGAAGAAGAATTCCACGACGACCAAACCGGTCCACGGTTGCCCAGAGCAGCAGCCAGGCTCCGCCCCCGGCACACACAGACAGCAAGTACGTCCAATAGAAACTGGGGGTGATTCCTCTGACGTCACCTCTGAAGGAGCTGTAGCAGTGACTGATGCCATGAGAGATGAACCTGGACACAAAATAAGGCAGCAAAACTTTTTTCAACATTAAAGAAATGAGCAGCAAATCAGCATATCAGAATGATTTCTGAAGGAACATGTGACACTGAAGACTGGAGTAATGATGCTGAAAATTCACAAACTTCAGCCCGCACTTTATTCCTGTGATGTCAGTCAAGTTCTTCAACACCAAACTCATCCAACCACATCTTTATGGACCTTTGTGCACTGGGGCACAGTAATGCTGGGATAGAAAAGGGCTTTCCCCAAACGGTTCCCATAAAGCATTGTATAAAATGTCTAGGTAAGCTGAAGCATTAAGATTTCCTTCACTGGAAGAGCCGTGAAAAACAGCCCCACACCAAACATTACAGTTGGCACAATGCAGTCAGACAGGTAAGTGTCTCCTGGCATCCACCAAACCCAGATTTGTCTATTAGACTGCCAGAACGATTCAACACTACACACTCGCCTCTCCATCCGACACTTGCTATAGTACATCGTGATGTGAGGCTTGCATGCATCTGCTCGGCCATGGAAACCCACTCCGGAAAGCTCCCGTCGCACATTTTTTGTGCTGATATGGAAGTTTTTCACACTCAACACTCGTGACCAGTTCGCTCTGTGACTTTACATGGTCTTCCACTTCGTGGCTTAGTTTCTGCTGTTCCTAAACGCTTCCACTTTCCAATAAAACCACTTACAGTTGACCGTGGAATATCTAGCTGGGATGAAATTTCACAAAACGACTTGGCATCCAATCACAGTGTCATGCTTGAATCCACTGAGCTCTTCAGAACGACCAATGTCTTTCCCAAATGCTTGATTTTATACACCTGTGGCAATGGGTCTGATTGAAACACCTAGGCTGCATTCAGCCCCGACAAAACGCTGCACAACGTGTTTAAAACAGAAACGGTGATGCGTTGAGCACACTGTTCTGATGACGCAAGAGTTGCAACTACGGCAGCTGAGAAGGCCATTCTTTGTGTTCTTGTGAAGAATTTTCGGAGCCTGATGAAGTCGGTATAAATATGTGTTTAATACTACAAAATATGCCCGATGTTACAGTTACTGCACTTGCCGCCCAGAACACAAGAGAACATCCCAGTCGAGTGAAGGGATTGCTGAAACTGTAATGGAAGCACATCTTACCTAATAAAGACTAAAGCACATCTATTCAGCCTCACATACTGACTTTATTTGTAGTTCATACTGTTTTAATACCCTGTATTTTCTTTCTCATCTTTAGGAAAAGCACTTAATTACCATTGTTTATTTCTATACCAAATGTCACACACTTGCAATGAAGCTAAAAATTTAAACAACTACATCATTATGTTGATATCCTATATTTTTACAATAAAACTTACGACAAACATGTCTTCTAATATCCTCAGTTGTTGTGTATACCGAGCTGCATCGAACACATTTGTAAATGACTTTCCTTGAACCCATTGTGCGCGTTCACTTTAATACGGCGTGCTTTATATACATGTTGCTGCTGATTGGACTGCAGTTCTGACACACACACCAAACAAGAGAAAACGCATCTCAAACCCCGGTGCACACCGGCGCACGCCGCTTCCAGGAAACATGACGTTCAACCCGGAAACCGTAGCAAAACGTTGCGCACCGTTTTGAACTTGAACGTGCCCCTAATTTCAAGAATTAAGAGGTGTGTACCAATACTACGGTGTATAAGTACTCGCTAAATGTTTGTTCTATATCTACACTGTTGCTTCCTGAAGGAAACGCGTTTAGTTTTTCTCTTGTCAAAAATGAGCTATTTTGTTATTTTGCAAGAGCAGTCCACCTCCAACTTTGTTAATTTTTGCACATTAGGCAAGTAAAAACAGTAGGAATCACTTACGATGTGAATCCCAGCACACACAGGTTCTTCCAGATGTTTCTGCTGTGCAGCAGCTCTGGGAAGGACAGATGGGGACGTCCAGGAGATGAGGACGGCTCTGTGTCCATCTCTGCATCAGACACAATAACACACTCTCATTCTGCATTCTTGTTCATCGAGAACTGAACTACTATCAGACGAAAAACATCCAGCAGAAACTGATGCTGTTTGCGTTTCAAAATGAACATTTCCCAGCGTCAACCAGACAAAGATATTTGCACACTAACCCGTGAAACTGTCGTCGTCTCTCTGCCGCTCGCTGCGTTCGCTGAAGGAATTCATGTCTCCCGTCCTTTCGGAAAGCAGAAGCCAGCGAGGCGATTCAGGAAACACTCCCGGGATCCTGAAGACAAACAGACTGATCTTTAAATGCCAGCAAAAAGAGCAGCTTCACAGAGTGATAACAGCATTTGCTCTACAAACAGCACAGGGAGAAACGACACTGTGCCACTAGCGGGACGATCATCATTACTAACAAGCGCTGGCTGCACTTACAGCTTTGATGCTTCACAGGGAATTTTAGATCAATATTTCTGAAGGCGCAGTCGGTTTGCATTTAGGCTGATGAAGTGTTGAAAAGCTTTACTTCCTGTTCCCAGCAGCTCAAGTACGAGTGTGTTGATGCTGAGCCAGTTTAATAACACAAGAGATGTTATCCACAGAACTCACGGCCTGACCTGTTTATGTTTCAATACATGTTTTCATATCGCAGCTCATAGAACTTGTTTCAGGGATCAACATTAAGGATCGCAGTAAACTTCAGCTTTGGGTTTGTGATGTTTTGTGAATTGTGCTGAGGTAAATACATCACCGACTTTTTAGTGAACATAAACAGTTGAGAAATAAAACGTATGTGTAACTATATTGAATCTGTGCAGCTCTTAAAGTGACAGCAGCCTAATAAACCTGCTGACGTCTCTATAATAACATTACTCAAACAACAAAAGACTAAGGAAAATCACTCACTGCTTTTGACTGATTAACTTTGATAAGGATTAATCTATGTTGATTTATACAGTGAAGACTATGCAGTGCTATTTTACTTTTTAAATCAATTACATTTCTTTAATTTTCACTGGTATCTGAAATGGTCAATTGCCATTGGTAGGTGTGGAAAAGTGTTTGTTTATATATATATATATATAACATTGGTTTAAAAAGGACCTAAAGTTAGTAATAAAAGGAAGGACAGTGTTAAGGTTTTGTTGAAATTGCAAGAGTGACGTGGAAGTATAAGTAAGAATAGGTATGAAATTATAAACACATCATGTTTTGGCATCATTTCCTGGTAAAATGTTTTATGAATCATCTAGCGGTCTTAAATGACCTTATAATAGTTATCATGTTATGTCATCACAGTTATCCACTTTCTTATCAGTGCACCTCTAATAGTGACAAAGTATAAAAACCAAAACCACATGATGCAAGCTGAACTGTGAGAAATCTGAACCATTTACTAAAGCATAATTATTAGAAAAGCCGATCAGTAGGTTGTATTCCTCATGGACTAACCCATAGCACAGGAACAACGCCAGCGGAGCCGCTCCGGTCCCCAACAGGCCCCTCCAGGAGCCACAGCCGAGGGCCACAGCCAGCAGCAGGAGCTCGCCCGCAAACGTGGTCAGACCGGACATCATCGTGGCCAGCAGCCGCAGGGACGGGTCGCAGAGCTCCAGACCTGGAACACAACGGAAACTGCTTTAAAGGTCATGACTAACAGATGCTCAAGCGTTTCGTATTCTGTTCTGGATATTAGTATCTGTAGTTTTAGTTCACTCGCAATGTATCTTGATTGAACCCTCTGATGCTGTTCGGACCGAAAGTTTTTAATTTTTAGGTGTTCAAGCACGAAGTGCTGAAAACCTATTGTAATTGCCATTTGAAAAAAAAAATCCCCTAAAACGCATCGTGCAGCCCAAACCGTAAGGCCTAGAGACTTGAAACCAAAAGTACTAAATTGCTCATAACTCCTAGACCGTTGGTCCTAGCCTCAAGCTTTTTACACCACTGTGATCCTTGGCTCAAGACGGACAAAATGTATATCTCCAATTTCGATTTACCGAATTTTCCGCTATGTCGAATTTTGTCCAAAACCTACTTTTGCGAACTAGTCCCTGGTTTTTCGCCCGATCGGAACCAAACCAGTCTAGGCCTATTCTCTGGACTCTCTAGAAATTTTGCAATTGGGTGGCTGTAACAGGGTCATTTAGAAAAGGGGCGTGGCAAAATACAGTCAAAAGCCTATAAATCATAAATAAAAACTTCACAAAAATTGATGAGCATATGTGTCATAACATGGTGAAGAAGCATGCAAAGTTTCATGGAGATCGGACCATAGGTGGCGCTCTAACTGTTAAAAAGCTTTGAAACCATATATTTCCTATGGTAAACTGCCTGTATTGGCTGTAAATGGTCTTTTCCATCTATTATGTCAGTATTTAAATGTATGCTAAATAAAACTTAATGTCTTTTCATGGTTTTGTGCTTAAAGGCCTTAACTGCTTGAACACCGCTAAATGCTGCTTGCAGCTTTAATTATTTAATTTTTTACTACACTGGAATTGTACAAAACTTGGTAAAGGTGCTGGCACTTGATATGTGAAAACACAAAAAAATCATGGACATGATTCGAAAAGGTTAAATGGTCCTGAAAAAAATAGTCACACAGTGTTGTTCGTGGTCAAAAATGAACGCATTGGAAATTCATTTCATCTAGTGGAAATGTTTGGTACTGCGCCCAAACAAAATCATTTCAGCCTCAAATTTGGAACTTGTTCAGATTTATGGGTTTAATTTCTCAGTTTTAGGGTAAAACATGCTTTGGAAAATATACATTTTATATCAAATGTAAAAATAGTATTTTAGGCATTTTTCAATTTCTATAACTTTTTTATTTCACTTTTTACACTTCAGTAATCATCTTCCAATGGCCATCTTTAGACCGAAGTTCAGCCTGTGCTCCGAGGCATTCAAGATTTTACAACAGTTTAAGTTAGAAATTTCATTTTCAGCTCAACATGCTCAAAAAGTAGTTAACATGTAATAAATGGATTATAACTATTCCAGAAATATAATTTAGTACCATAAAAATCCCATAAAAATGTCAAAATATTAACTGAACTAAAATATATTACATTAATTTCATTGAAATCAAATAGAAACATTTTGGTCTTTTTTGACCGGCACGCGAGCGGCACCAGAATGTTTCGATATTTGTACTTTTTTGCTGTGTAATATCATCATGAACCCAGAGAGCGCTCTGATGTTTATCACAGCTGTTCCGTGTGCGTTTGACTCACGTGTGACGTAGAGCGTGAGGTAGACGCCAGCGCTCGCAGCAGCGAGACAGAACCGCATGGAGATGAAGACCGGCGGCGAGGGCGACACACACACCAGCACACCGAACACCACCGCCAGGGTCAGAGACACCAGCAGGGACTTATGCCTGCCCAGCCTGAGCACAAAACAGCACAACTCAACACACATCACTGAAACAACATCAAAAACTAGGGGTGTAACGATACCTCATGTCACGATTCGACACAGATCACGATACGATATTATTGCGATACTCAAAGACATATGATAAAAGGTTAACTACTGTTGATTAAAATACTAAATTTGATATTTCATTGTGTGTGTAAATGAATAGTCTTGGACTTGGTGCTGAAACCCAAAGCACAGGACAATAGAGACACCAGAATAAACATATGAAGCTGAAAATACAGAATTATTTTAGAAGAATATGCTTGCACTCGGTCACTAGATATATTTAAAATAACGTAGGCCACTTTTTACTGGTAACAATTATTAGGAGCCATAAATATTCCCCCATTGCATTATTATACATAATATTTAACATTATATATAGTAGTTTAATGTAGTACTGACACTAAAACTCTGAAAACTTGAATTCTTTCCTCACACAGTGATTTTTATTTTGGGTGAACTATACACAATACATATTGTCACTTTCCACGAATCAAACATATTGTTGCATTTTTGTATTGCAATATATTGTGACACGCCTATCAAAACCTGAACAGACGGTTCCTCACCGGTCAGACGCGTGACCCAGACCCAGACAGCCTGTAAGGGTTCCCAGAATGAAGCACACCTCCTCTACTGGAACCAGCCAGTACCGCAAACACACCAGATCCCACTGGAAACAACAGGAAGTCAGGCCAGAGCAGACAGGAAGTCAGTTGTAGCAGTAGAAGGGACATGCAAACAGTTTCCAAATTAAAAAGACTTCCTGTTCGTAAGGAAACAATAACACTGTGATCTCCAAAGACGCACACGTTTTCTTCTGTGCTAAAGCGGAAAACGTAACCAGGCTTTAGTTTCACTTCATGTTTGATATTCAATTCACATTTATTTGTACATAAACAAATCGCATTTAGCTAAAAATGTATTAAACAATTCAATAATTTATGCAAAAAATGCATTTAAACAATGTACTAATACTGTCACCTGCCCGTATACGGGCAACCTAAATTTACTTCACTATATTACTATTAAATCCTAATCTAGTCATGACAAACTATATATCGTTGGAAAGGTCTAAGACTCCTAAATAGATATTTTAGCGCTGTTTTTTTCTTACAAATTATGAATGAACAGTAATATATGAACTTATGACAAGAGTGCGCCTCAAAAAATCGACGTCATTACAGGAGTTTCTGACCTTTGTCACAAAAAGTCGACGCACACACTTTTAATAATTGAAACTTTGGTTTTTAGTGCTAAAAGTTCATCATAATAAAACATAATCTAGTATTTGTCAATAAAAAAAGATAAAATTATATTTTAAAAAGTAAAGTAAGAAGTTCTCTAAAAAGTATAATATATATAAAACATGTATTATTTTTATATCACATATTTTAGTAGTTATCATAAATTAGGTATCATTTGAAAGCTTACGAACTCAGAATTCATCCTGTGAAAACCGTTTTGAAATTGGACGTTGTGTTACCATAGAAACGGTTTTTTGTATTAGGCCCCTCCCCTTTTGGGCATCATCTTTCATAATTTATTATCAAAACCTTTTCTAATCTTGACAAAACATATATTGTCAGAAAGGTCTGAGTCTCAAGGTTACATATTTAGTGACAGAAGTGATATTTGGATAGAAATTTATTAATTTGTTATGGCAGAATGCATACAATTAAATTCAATGGCACCCGGTGGGTATTTTTGGTATAACGCCTAAACAAAATCTCATGGGAACTTCAATGTTTGTGATATCAACTTTAAAATTTGGAACACAACTTGGTTAGATATATAGCTTTCATTTTATAGTAAAAAATATTTTGTAAAATATTTATTTTATATTAAAAAAAATATATTAATAAAGTATATTTGATTTATTGTAAATTATAACTTCCATAACTTTTTCATACATTAATTTTTTGAAGTGCTTTCACTTTAGTAATAATCTGCTGATTGTTTTCTTTAAAACAAGACCAAACTTAGGTCTATATTCCAAAGCATTCTTGAATTACAACCATTTAAGTTTGTATAGTGCATTTTAATGTAAATTATCAAAAGGGGGGGTGACAGGTAAAGGGTTAAGGCAGAAACAATGAGCTCATATAAGTAATGAATACTTGTTTGTTAACAAATGATAACGGTACAGAACTGTAAATATAACAAATTAATTCTTCAAATTCAGGAAGTAAACAGCTGCGGATTGAGTCAGACGTCATGTGACCAAACCAGCTGCATGATGATGACACCACCACATAAGACATGCTGACCAATGTGACCAAACCAGTTCTTCAGCACGCATGACTCGTCTTCAGGGTGGAGAACTTCAGCCCACACACACACACACACTAAACACACACACACTAAACACAAAAGACTCCTTAAATTACCGCATTAACTATCTTTAGATTGTTCCAGGTTTTGCATCCTTGATTACACTTGAAACACCTGACTGAGTCATCATTTTTATGAGTCTATATATAAACCAACACCTGCTGTTTATTTGATTAAATACAAACTTCAGCCGTGTTTAGTGAGGAATCTGATGAACGCATCCGTCAACCTTTCACTGGACACGAGTCTGACAGACATAAAGAGACACGCATCCCTCCCAGATGAAGCGTGATTATCAGCCAGACATCAATCTATTCCCAGTTCATCCGTGAGAAAGTCATTGTGCTCTTAACACACAGCACTGATAAGCTGCAATCTCAGCGAACTCCCTCCATCTCCGCAGCGTCGCACTAGAACAAAACCTATATTCACATATTTAATGTCTAAAAGCTTCTGATTGGCTGTGATTATGTCGCATCATGAAGCATTTTTGGGAAAATTACAATTACTTGCATCACTCTTCTTCCGTGACATTCAGCAGGATAAAAATCAACATGTTCATAGGCATTTTCTAATATAACTATTTCTAATAATATAATATTTCTAATAATATAAGTTTTTTTTTTCTTCTTCAGATTATTGCATTATTCTGTAGTAGAGCCTGAATTAACCATCTTGCCTGTTTAAAGACATGATATCATATGGTTAGTTCACACAACAACTAAATAAAAGTGTTACGAAAAAACGAAAAATATTTAAAAAGTTGAAATAGCAACTACCTTAAAATAAGTTTATATGTTGACTTACTTCAGGTAATGTTTAAGATAACATTTCATAATAAATTAATAATTCATAAAATTAAGGTTACACTTTATTTTAAGGTGTCCGTGTTACAGTGTAAGAACTGAGTAATAATGATTAACTACATGTACTTACTATATAGAGTTAGAACTGGGGTTTGATTTAGGGTTAGTTGCATGTAATTATGCATAATTTATAGTTATTACTACATGCAACGTGTAACAAGAATACTGTAAAATAATGTGTTACTAAAACTAAAACTGGATTAAAAAATAAAATAAACTAACACACACACACAACAAAATGACTAAAACTTTAAAATGAAAAATATTACTAAATATTAATAAAAGCTATAATAGTATATTAAAGATACTAAAATAAGACTGAACTTTATTTTCTTTTAATCATGGCACGTTTGCAGTGATCGGGATCCAAAAAGGACCATAAAAGCCCCACATTTTAAACTTGACAATGGCTTGTGTTTATGAACTGATGAATCACACACAAGTTGCCAATTATTGATTTCATAGCAAATATCTGAACATTCTCAAATCAAGATACATATACAATAGCAAAACTACTTTAAGGTCTTGTTTTTGTTTTATGTATCAAATTTAAGTGCTCAAAACACACACAAAATTGCCAAATGGGGTCAGAATGAATAATAATAATGATAATTTTCCATTTTAATAAACCCATACATTTTTCAGAGACTTAATTTTTCATTTTGCTTCTCAAGTAAATAATGTTTTTGCAGTGTACCATCTGATGCCATTCTATTCTAATTAAATCTTGAATTCTGGGACCCTGTGTATAAAAATTGTGTATTATATATATATTTATTTATTACACGGCTCTATGGAATACTTGATTCTGATTGGTCAATCGTATGTTATTCCCAGATAACCGCCGCTGAACACAGAAACACCGGCTCATCCACTGAAGTCAGCAGCGCTATACACTCGCTAGAAACGTTTTTTCTTTGTGGAAGTTTTGCTTTTGGTGAGCTATTAAAATATTAAAACTCAGTCGAATCAATATTTTTGTGTACAGTTATTAAATTATGCCATCCAGTATCGTGAACTCGCTCTCTCTTTTCATACAAACGCAGCGGCGGCCATTTTGTGACTATTGTTTTGTACACTGTTGGATTATAAGATACAAACAAGTACGATTTTAAAACAGTTTAATCTGAAATCAATATCTCTTATCTCCATAATTATTTATGTGT